TTTGTGGTTGTTGGGTCTGTTTTCATGGGGTTTGGGGGGTCATTTGGTTGTTGTTTTGTGTCTGGTTCTCGCAGGAGATGGCGAATCTGATGGGTTTGGGGTCGGGTATTTGATGGGTTTGGCGAGCTTGAAGCTCATTTGCTTCATGGGTTGTGCTCTGGTGTGGAGGAAGAAGGAGAACGGTTGGGTTGGAGGTGTTTGGAGTTGGGAGCTGCTGGTTGTTTGAGGTTGAAGCCGGCTCGCTTGTGGTGGCGTGAGCGGAGGGAAGAAGAAGAAAATGAATGGAGGTTTTGGGTGGTTTCAAGTGGTGTTTGCTGGCCGGAAAAGGGAGGAGTAATGGATGTGTTTGTTCACTTGTTTGGGGGTCATTTGGTGGTGGCATTTTGCTTGAAAAAGAAGAAAATGAATGGGGTTTTGGGTTGCCGGAGATTGGCCGGAATCCGGGGTGGTAGAGTTGTCAAATTACTCCTAACTCGCGCAGAATACGTGCACATCACGCGTTTTGCCAAATAGGACTCGCGTGTTTATTTATTAAAAGGTTGAATAGTTAAAGTGCTTGTTTGTGCACTATGAAAGTTGGAGATCAAAGTTAAAATTTGAAGCCAAGTTTAGGGTCCAATATATGTATTATGCCTAAAATCTTTGTGGAGGTTGAAATTCATCTTTTTATAAAGATGGCCTTCTAACAAGCATAGTAAGTCACTACTATATTTTCATGTTTTGAAAACTTCTCTTTTAATATTTAATTTTTAGGCAATTATTGAAGGAATTCAGCAAGTTTTCACTGATTTACATACTTTGGGTAAGTGAGATGGAAACTCTCTTCTTCCTTTCTTTGTCATTTCACTTCATTATGTTATGTAAGTTGATCATCGAAAAGGTGCTACATTTATCATTCTTTCATTAAATTTATTCCCCTTATTTTATTAGTGCTTAGTTTTTCCTGTTTCATATCATACCAAGCTAGCTACAATCTTTGGAAGAAAATTATTATAGATAATAATGATGGTCATATCTAAGTATGTTGATTACCTAATTTTTTATTGCATCCATGTTAGTAATGTTTAGGTGCACTTCTTAAATTTAGAGCAAGAGTTCCTTGATATGTCATATATCATCATATGCTATATTATTTTAATTAGTTTTACATAATTCAACACATCTTATTTTCCAAAACAAATAACTAAAAGTTAAATGAAAAGAGTTAGTTGTCACCCTTGTATTTGCATAGAGAAACATATATTTAGATATTTTAGTCTAGAAGATTATATTTGAAATCCTTCTTTTCATTTATTTTTGGATGCAAAAGTAAGCTTTATATAGAAACATATTAATCAATACAAGATTTATCATATTTATAAAAATATAATGTGATAAATATTTATATCGACATGATATTAGACTTATATAAATTTTAGATCATAATAGAAGACAAACGTGCAGCGCACGTTTCTAGAACTAGTTCTTAAAATTTGATGATGATATTTATAATAGTAGTATATATAAAATTCAATGGGACATAATTGATAATTTTATGGCTGAAATATGTATCATAACTCTACCGTGATATAACCCCTAGTTAACATTATGAAAACAGTTCATGTATATTCCTCTAAAATAAACTATTTTCATAATGTTGACGAGGGATTATATCACTGTCTTTTCCTCTAAAACAATATCGATTAAGGGTGTATTTTGATTGGTTCGGTTCGATTTCATCTATTATCGATTTGATTTATCAATTTTTAAATATGCTAAATCAATATTCAACTAATGAAATATTTTTTTCAATTTTCAATTTATCAATTATTGGACATTAACAGTTTGATTTTCGATTTAATAAAAAAAAATCTCATAAAATAAATATATAACTTCTCCAACAATTAGGCGCAACATGACAATAATGTAACCTTATATAATGCTCATAAAATAGACGCAGTAGTGACTAACAGGAAAAAAACTATACAAGTACAATATAATAAAAGACCTTTAACAATAATGTGAATTAAAGGCTAAATGACAAAGATAATACTCTTTATGTCTCTAATTATTTGTCCACTTTTCCTTTTTTACTTGTCTATTTTGACAAATCGAGAAAGGATAATTTTTTTATCTATTATACCCTCAATTAATTACTTTGAAAAATGTAGAACTTTTAAAAAAATTTAAAATTTTAATTCATTCACTTTATAGTTAATAGAAGTAAAATAGTTTTTTTAATAATGTGTCAATTCAAAAGTGGACAAGTAATTAGAGATAAAGAGAGTAACTAATAAGATACCGATATTAAAATTTTGATATTTATATAAATGTATTACTCCAATCTTAATGAGTTATCAATATAACTACTAAGATACCAATATAAAAATTTAATAATATTTATATAGATGTACTATAATCTTAATGTGTTATCAGTTTAGTCGGTAATCTAATATACATGTTAACCCAAATATCAATAACTTAACAATAATAAATCAATTTTAAAAATCTCGATTTGATTTATTAGTCAATTCGATTTTTTTCACACCCCTAATTCCAACGGAACCCTTGCTATATTACGACTTTCCCCTCAAATAAATTCCGACGGAACTTGGCAAAATCTCTAATATAAAAGAAACAAACAAACTGTTTTGAGTATAGCAATACTCCGACGAATTTAACAATGCAATCTTCTTCGCCGGAACTTCCGATTAGCAGACGTTTCTTCAAGGTCATGGTGCCTGGTTTTCACTCTAAGCTTGTAAGATACTACTGCCATTTCTTTCTATTTTTTCCTAATTTTTTTTGGGTAGTATCAATTTTCTATATGAACGGAAGAGGAACTTCCAGAATTAATGGTGTTTTTGGTAGTATCAATTTTATTTTATTTTTCCAATTTTTGTTCAATTCACCTGGTATTGCAGACAATTCCACCAGCTTTTTTTCCGAAGCTAAAAGGGGATAAATCAGAAAAGGGGACAATAATAAAGGGCAAGGATACATGGAATGTTGAAATTAATCGATCCGAGAAGGGCATTATCTCATTTGATAAGGGTTGGGAAGAATTTGTGCAAAAGCATGACCTAAGAGTTGGAGATTTTGCTGTGTTTGAGCACTTGGGTAACATGAGTTTCAGTGTTACCCTTCTTGATTCAACTGGCTGTGATAAGAAGTTGTTGGAAAAGAGCGAAGTAGTACCTTCCCAGGAGAAAAAGAAAAAGGTGAAATCTGGTCAGTCCGGAATAGGTAATTTCCCTAAAATTGTTATTTTTCCTCTATTGGATGTATAAAGCTTACTAGTCATATTGATTCATTTATAGTAAGAAATTATATTCCAGCCTAAGATCAAGCTGACACCAACCAAACACCTTACCTTTTAAAGAAACACTCCAGATTCTTTTGTTTCACTTCCCTACAGTTGAATCTAATATTCCTAAGCTGAATTTAGATATAGACAAAGATTAAATTGTCGATTTTAATTTTAAAATGTGTATTATGAACAGATACGTTGTCTGATTTAGGGACATATCTGTTAAGGAAAACATGCTTGTAGTTGTACTATTGCGTATACTTTAACTTGGTATAATTGTTTTAGTACTATTATGGCAATCAATCTTGTCAAAAAAAGGAAGGTACTGTTATGGCAATCAATAAATTGATATGGAATAAGAAAAGTTTCATCTTTTGTAACATTGTTAAAGCCATGTCTATGATGAGTATTTCAGTGAAGTGGAAAGGAGGGTAATCTAGAGGAGTGGTCCAATGTACATTTCATTTGGGTTTGATGCTCTATTTCTTACTTCTGTAGAGAAAAGGAAACTTGAGGGAGATCAACCTCACTACCAATGCATGAAAGGAAGTTCTGAGTTTACGGCAAGAATAAAAGAATATAACGTGAGAAAACGTTCTCCTTATATGGTGAGCTTTTAACTCTTATTTTCTTTTATCCAAACCTTTGACAACACAGACAATGAACTTTTTATTGTAGTGCCTAAAAATATCCAATATGATCTTTTTCCTAAATTTCTTTAATGTGCTCTTATGACAGCATATACCCACAGAATTTTGTCAGTCGAATGCACTCTTTCAGAATACAACCATGACGTTAACAGGCCCGTCGGGTAAATCATGTCCTGTGAGTCTGAGAATTTGCAATGGTGGGAAGACTCTATATGCTTGTATTACAAGAGGCTGGCATGATTTCTTTTCAAGCAACAAGCTAAAAGTAGGAGATGTTTGCATCTTCCAACTTGATCGCTCAAAAAGCGACTCAAATTCCATTGCCATCGATGTTCGTGTTTTGTAGGCTGCAAACTGTTCTTTTATCTTTATTCTTTTGATTTTTTACTAGTTAGTGTTACCTTGTAAACTTATTTCACTAGGTATAGGTTCTTTTTATATACTTGATTGGCTGATCAACAAGAAGTTGTACTCTAGCTGCTGCAGAGTAATTAGGCAGTGTGTTATTTGTTGAGCAGCAAAAATGCTGATGAATAAGTTGCATCAAGAAAATAATCTTAGAGGCAACTCAAGCTAGAAGGAGAGATCGAAGCTCATTCCAACCTCTATTTAGTGGACAATATGGGGAATAAAGGAACAAAAGATGCTTTGACGATAAATCAAGTCATATCCAGAAGATGAAGTTGAAGTGTTTGGTATTTTTGTATTTTTGGTGTAAAGGAACATGTGTAGAAGATCTTGATTCAATTTTTGATGTTTTAAACTCCTAGATGATAGTGGAGCTGTAGGTTTGGTCTCTTTACAGTCCTGTAATTATGGATGATTATACAGTCTTTGTATAATCTTACTATTTGTACAAGATATGTTAGCTGTTTTAAAATAAATAAATTATGAGTACCATATTCTAACAACATATTCGTTTGCAAGCAGTTATTTAGTAAATGATGATGGTAGTTCAAAGCTATCCATAGTGTCTAGCTATCATCAATTTTCCTGCCCAATAATATCTTTTTGTCAATAGCTTTTTTCAAATTTGGAAAGATGACATTCAGCTGATCTTCATGCCTGAAGCAGTTCTTGCTGGAGTTCAAACTCTTACAGTGGTTGTTGACTCGTTATGCCTGTAAGTTCCAGACAGATTTAACACATGGCACCCTATCCTAACTGTTTGCTGTTTTATGAAGTCCGACTTAGATCTTGCTCTGATTCAATATGCTAATCTCTGAAGCGCATGTTGAGGTCAGTATTGTTTTACTTTTTCATGGAAACTTTCATTTAGTCTTCTTAATTTTGTTAAAAATATCCTGCATATTTTCCTAATTAGATCTTGTACTTCTCCTATTGGGTACCTGCAACTTACTGTAAAATATTTTGTCAAGACAGCCCGCAAGGCTTTGGGTTAGTAGAGCCGCTAGGGGAGTGGCTCTGGTATAGATAGGGTTAAATTTGCAGGGGTCATGCAAATACATAGGCCCCTTCTCTTTGGGATAAATGGGGTAGTTTAGAAGGCGCTTTCTGATCTACTTTTTTCTTACGTCGCTGTCATGTCTTGCCCCCCAATATAGTGACTGCTTCCATGTTTTCCCTGAATTTCATCAGTTCCAGGTTCAAGTGCCTGTTCATCCATCTTCATTCCAAACTAAGGTGAGCATCTCCAGTGAATGTAACTGCTATGCCGCGAGCTGGTTAGATGCGTGGAACAGAGGGCTTGTAGTACCTGCTAGCGCGGCTATGCAGTGGAAGGGAACGAGCCTAAATTGACCCCCTTCTTTTTTTCAAGTGTAGTGTGTGATATGTTGATTAGGTGCATATCATGAGTTTGGACATTGTTGTGGACGAAATTCTTGTATTTATGTGGAGAAAGGTAGAATGGCAGGCCCATTATCCACCATGTTTTGAACTATGTGGTAGCTTGCCTTCGGGGATTTCTCAGTTATAAAAAGAAATTGTCAAGACATTTGGAAATCGAGACATCTTTTTTTCACATAAAAACTTGCAACATTTTTGCCCAAGGTTTTTATTTCTTATATATTCTTGATGATTCTGAGAGTCGAATGTTGATATATATCAACTTGCAAGTCAGCACGCCATGACAGGTTTTTGACTTATGTTCCTTTTGTGATTTGTCTTTTCAGCAGGATTGTTGATCCTCTTGTATTTCTATACTTCCTTTTCTTGTTTAACTTGTCTTTATGTCAACCCAACCAAATAACAAATTCAAACACAACATTGGTGTTTAGGGGTAAATAATCAGAAACATCTTCTAATCCTTTATGGAATGTGCAAATCTTTGCTTCTATCACCTTACCGTTTGAGATAAATGTTTGTATTCGATGGGTGTTTTCTTGTTGTATTCTTTGAGTTGTTGAATCAGTAGGCTCTATAATAAGAGAGTGATGCTTCAATTGGTTGAGACAAGGTTGACCTTGGTTGGCGGCAGTTAAATGTTTTACGTGTTTGAATATCGATCAAATATGAAACCAATTTCTTTCCCCTATAAATGGAAGAATTATACTATGTAATGCTGGGAAAGCACTTGAAAGGTTTAGTGATATATTTGCTTTAGCAAGGTTTTCCACACTCCCGTGTATAGTTAATCTGGCTGTTGTAGACACAGCTTATTCCTAGTGTATCACTTACTCTTTCCATCAGTTTCTAGGGATTATCCATGGCATAATTTCTTAGTATCTTTCTTACTGTGTTTCTTAGCTATGGGTGTCCTAGTATATTATCTGCTCTCCACCTATTCTCTTGTCTTTTTACTACCAGTTGCATTCTTTTGTGTAGGTTATGAGGAAAACAACGTAGGGAGGAAAGAAAATCAGTTAGAAAGCATGTTTCTTACCTGTATCTACATGTATGGCGGTGGTAGGCATTGTTCATACACATGTATATGTGCAACTGGCGATAATAGGTAAGTATGCTTTTCCTTGCATCTTCCATTTGAAGCAACAATGCACTAAGACTTTAAAAATTGTGAAGTGTTGAGCGGATTTTAGATTTTGACTAATTTATGGGCATTAAATCATCTAGCTGGCAATGACATGTTAACTGCTATGTAACCTAAGAATAGCAGAATGAGAGCCTTGGGTCTCTATGTAATCTATATATGTGTATGATCTATTGAACCTAGAGACATGCCCGCTGCAGTGTTGTCTTGGAGAGCTGGAAGTACGTTCTCTAAGTGTCAGGACATAAGCTGAGTGGGTTCTTTCAGAAATACCTCCTTCCAGGTGACTAATGAGACTGACGCTCTAGTTCAAATTTCAGCTGATTTTAGTTCCCTAGTTGAAATACCTTCTGATAACCATGTTACATCGACTTCATAACGAGCGCGTAATTAATTGTGTACTATGGGCTGCTACCCTCAGAAACCTGGTAGTCCGTTGCTTATGGTGCTGGGCTACGGGTTAAACTTACCTACTGGTGGGGTGTATTAGGTGCCAGCATGACCTGAGAAATCGGATCATGACAGTTTATATATCTTTATGTGGATATTCTTTACCATCACTCTACTAACCATCATCAGTTGTAACCACCTATTGTCATAACCATCACTACCACAATTGTCAACCACCATTATTGTTGTCAATCGTCAACCACCACTTGAAACCACTATCACGGTCAATCACTACTATCAATCGCCACCATACTTACTATCTCCATAGTTACAATTAGCAACATCACCATTTGTCACTAACATATCATTAATCTATCACCACACAACCATCACCATTAACACAACCAATTATTAACATATATAACCAATTTTATCATCCCAACCACTTCACTATTACCGATTATGATTTGTGACTATCACATCAATCACTACAATAAAATTATCTCTACTATCATAACTATCGTCATCATCATCATTAGCCATTAACACTAATATAACTTTAAACATTTAAATATTCATTCAGATTCAAAATCTGCACAACTATCGTCATCATCATTATTAGCCATTAACACTAATATAACTTTAAATATTTAAATATTCATTCAGATTCAGAATCTTAATCTTAACAAAGATAAAATGAGGCCTAAATGTCCATGCATAGGGTAAAGATAGCATATGCATTGTGAAGCAAACCATTAATGGAAATATGCCTATGAATGAGCAAGTGAAAATGTTCAAACGCGTTTGACGAATTTTTACTGTTAGTACGAAAAACACATTTTAATCGTTTTAATTCATGTACTAGATATATTTAAAATAAAAGATATTGTTAATAATTTTTATGAGCCGATAGATTAACGGAGAATATATATAAGACAAATTTGGTCATCCAGGTGATTAAGTGCATGTATTTTAGTTTATCACAAGTTTAGTCATGTTCATTGTTGTCTTTTAGTTGTTCTAGATGGTTGATTAATTAAGTATAGTTCATACATCTAAGTCTAATAATCACTTGTGAACCTATAAATACCGCTCTTATATATAATGATTTATTAAGTAAAATTAGAATAGTTCATTATGTTATAATGTGTGAACGTGATGTAATCCATCTTTTTCATCCTTTTTGTGCATTATGATATGATAAAACCTATGTATATTTGAAATCGATATATATATTTTTTTGGTATATATCTTCTTTGATGTTTATTTGAATTCGAAGTACTCTGTTTGATTTCTTATATTAATAGTGCATTCAACTTACTATTTTATAATTTTAAGTTGTTTTTTCTGCCACAATTTAAGTACAACAAATTCTTCACATTAGCATTCTTGAATTTTTTTGAGGCTAGTGGACCATCTAGTTTTGAATGTTAAATTGATTTGGAATCATCTATAAATTAAAGTGCAATACAAATCCTAGCTCAAAGTTGAATTAGATGGAAACATCTATATAATTGCATTGGAAGAAAGCTTTTTCTATGGTTTTTAATTAGTGGCAATTTTTTAATTAAAAAGATAAACGCGTACACTTTTGAAAAAAAATAAATTGTATCAGTGGTAGTAAAGTTGTGTGACTAAATAAAGGTGGAAACTGACTTGAGTCAAAAACAATAATGCATTATTTATCACACTGTATGTATATAAAGATTGACTACAAGCTCCTAGCTAAATAAGATATGAAGTACCAACAATTGCTTATTGCTTTCTGCTTCTATTCATTTGTTATATTTTTTGTCCAGCAGTCTCAGCTCACATATGCTGGGCAACATCTCTGTGCCCGCGATGACGCTTTTTATTTGCTTCAATTTAAGAAAGGCCTCACAGTTGTTGATCAAAATATACATGACTGTGACAATGAGACCCGAGCCAAGACTTTGTCCTGGAATGTTACAGGAGATTGTTGTCAATGGGATGGTGTAACTTGCAATGGATTTACGGGTCATGTCATAGGCCTCGATCTTTCTTGCAGCATTCTTAACCAGACCATCAATGCTAACAGCAGCCTCACTAAACTTGGTCATCTCCAAAGACTCAACCTTGCCTTCAGCCAGTTTGATGACGACTTTCCACTTGGAATAAGTGAACTCAGTAGTTTGACACATCTCAATCTTTTGAATACTGGATTTAATGAAGGGGAGATACAGATTCCACCAGGATTATCCAAGTTGTCTAAGTTGGTTTCACTTGACCTCTCCTCGAATGACTTCCAAGTTGGCCGAACAACCTCCAGAAGTTTGCTTCAGAACTTAACCAATTTGGAGGTACTGTTGCTTGACAGCGTGGACGCACCATTTGAGTTACCTAAGAATTTTCCTTCTTCCCTTAGGTACTTAATTCTTCAAGACACCAACATGTGTGGGAACATAAGTGATTCTCAGCTTTTTCATCTACCAAACTTGCAAGTGCTGAGAATGGGATGAAATCCTTTATTAACAGGCACTTTGCCTAATTTCAATTGGAGTTGGTACAAGTATTTTAGAGTTGGACTTTTTCTATACTGATATTTTTGGTAAGGTACCTGATTCAATCGGCAACCTCCGTTCTCTTTGGTATTTAGATCTCTCTTTAAACCGTTTATCCGGCTTGATTCCAGTATCCATTGGCAACCTCAGCGGAATTAGAGTGTTGAGACTTTCAAGTAACAGCTTCACTGGTAATGTTCCCTCAACTATCTCAAAATTAAACAAACTCGTTGATTTAGATCTCTCTTTCAACGATTTTCAAGGCTCGATTCTAGAATCCATTGGTAACCTAACTGCAATCACAAAGTTGACACTTTCAGGTAACAACTTCACCGGAAATGTTCCCTCAACTATCAAAAAGCTGAAAACACTTAACTACTTAACTCTCTCTTTCAATAATTTTGAAAGCTCAATTCCAGACAACTTCGCCAACTTTTCAGAGCCATCTTTTTTATACTTGCAAACTAACAATTTCACTGGCCCACTTCCCTATTCGATTGCAACCTTGACTCGCCTTCAAGAATTAAACTTGCAAAACAATTTACTAACTGGTCCACTTCCCTCTAATTTAAGCAGACTTCAAGAGTTAGAAACACTTGATTTTTCCTTCAATTATTTCACTGTCACAATACCCCTTGGTTATTCCGTCTTCCATCCTTGGTTTCTTTATCTATTCAATACAATGAATTAACTGGGAAATTGCCAAATGAGCTCAAGAGCATTACGTTGGCAACGTTAGAATTGATCTTCGGAACAACAAGCTGCATGGAGAAATCCCTGATTGGATATTATCTATGAGCATGTATATCCTGGATCTCTCTCATAACTTGCTCACAGGCTTTGAAAAACAAGTATGACATTCAAAGAATTTGGTGTGGCTTAATTTGGAGAACAATTTTCTTCAAGGGACTTTGCATCAATCTATTTGTGACATGATTAACCTTGAAGTCCTCATTTTGTCTCGGAACAATTTCAGTGGTTCAATCCCAATCCCAGGATGTTTGGGTAACTCCATTCTTGTTTTAGACTTGCGTATGAACAATTTTTATGGAGAAATACCAAAATTCTTACCTATAGGGTTACAATATCTTGGTGTGTATGACAATCAGTTGGGGGGGGACAAGTCCCACGATCCTTGGTTAACTGTACAAGCTTGGAAGCTCTTGATTTGGGGAACAACAATATAAATGACACGTTCCCGTATGGCTGGACAAACTTCCAAACCTACAAGTTCTGATTCTGAAATCATATCTCTTTCACGGTTCAGTTGGTGATTTAGATTCCGAGTTTCCATTTCCTGAGTTACGGATCTTTGAGCTTTCCGTTAATGGGTTCACTGGAACTTTTCCATCTAATATTTTCAAAAGTTTCAGAGGTATGATGGATGTGGATGAAGGAAAAACAGGAATTACTCTAGCTATTAATAGGACTCACAGAGATTACCTTTACCATGTTAGTTTGGTGATAAAACTCAATGAGTTTGATATGAGAATCACGTCAATTATGACGAGTGTTGATTTATCAAGAAACAGGTTCGAAGGAGATATTCCAAATTCCATTGGAAGTCTGAGCTCACTTGTGTTACTCAACCTGTCTCGCAACAACTTCCGTGGTCATATTCCTGCAGAAATTGCAAAGTTGCAGCAGCTCGAAGCATTATAGATCTCTCGTGGAACAGACTCATTGGAGAAGTTCCTGGTCAATTGTCGAGTTTGACATTTCTTGAGGTCTTAAACCTTTCATACAATCATCTGGCTGGGCGCATTCGTATTGGGAAACAGTTCAATACATTTCCAGATGATTCATATTGTGGAAATCTTGATTTATGTGGATTTCCACTATCAAAGAAATGTGGAAACAATAATAGGCCAGATGAGTCAACACTTGAACAAGATGATGAAGATGCATTTTTTGCGAGCGGGTTCACATGGGAAGCTGTGGTAATAGGTTATGGTATGATATTTGGATTGTTGATGGGAGGCCTCATGTTCCTACTGGAAAAACCAAAATGGTTTGTCAACTTTGCTGAAGATATTTCTCAACAGATTGCTGCTAAGAAGCGAAGAAATCAAAAGAAGAGACGTCAAGGACGTGGTCTAAGAATGAATTAGCAATATACCAGGTATGCATCAAAACTTTTTGTTTTGTATCAGGAACAACACTATTTCTGTAGCTGTTCATTGTATAACTATATGTCAATTGTTTATTTTTTCCTAAATATTCAAAAACTCAGAAAAGTCATTAAGTCCTTTAATTCTCAATTTGTCTCTGCAGAAAGGTTGCTGGAGAGTTGGACACGTTTATTAACAAGTTAGTGTTGATGTTCTGGCAAAATATCAATGGATGCATCTGTTTTTCACTTTATGTAATTGGTTGTCAAATACATATGTTACAGTTGATTTCTGTAGTTTCGTGGAAAATAACTAATTAGCTTCAAAGATAGCAACCTCTATACTCTTATATGATGGTTGTGTCCTAATGTATCGTATTATTTTATATTGATGATTTTCCTTTAAATTGGGGGAATGTGATGTGCATCTCATTGGTGCACAAGCTGTACTTGTGAGCTAATAAGATTGTCTTTACTATTAACAAAAAAATGCATTACTAAGGTTTAATGATCAAAGTACAGACTTCAGTCTCTAGAGATCCCTTCACCTGACTGAAACCAAGTGTTAGGAAGCACGCTTCTGAACTTATGCAGCTAACTATGCTCATGATGCTGTCATTTCTGCTGAGGCGGAGCTTCATGGGGTTCGTGGGTTCGGACGAATTCACTAGCTTTTCTGTAGATTCTATATTTGTATTAAAAAATTAAATAAACATATATGTAAATTAGAGAAGGGTCAAAATTACCCTTGAACTATGTGAAATAGACGGCTTATACCCTCCATTATATTTTGGGTTCAAAAATACCCTACCGTTATCCCAAGAGACCACAAATACACTCAATGTTTAACTACCCAAAATTTTAGTGACATGGCAAGCCACATGGGACTAAACCCTCCACCTAAGTGTTGCCAACTAGGATTTACTTCAACAAAATTACACCTTTAGCTGCGACGACTGTTGCCACAAATTCCAAAAATATTGCCACTAAAGATTTTGAGTGATTTCAAGCGGCGACTAAGACTGCAATATCCATTCGCTAGTAAAACCTGTTATTTCAACAAGAAAATATGATAATTAATTTTCGGTTGCAACCTAATTTTCTAAAATAAATAACATGTACTATCAATATTAAAATCATCCAATATTATTACGAATATCATCAAAATTACTTCTCGACTCAAATCTCCTATTACATAATGCATTATTGTACATTTTATGCATCTACATATGACATTAATATAAAACATATGGTGTCTTCAAACTCCTCCTCGATCAATATCTTTTGTGATTTTTTAAAAATAATGAAGAAAAAAACACAAAATCATAATTTAATGCTAAAAATCAATGAAAATCTCTAGTGACGATATGTTGGGCTTTTGGCGACTATTGTCGCTGCTAAAGGTCTAAAATTTTTTTATGTAAATCCTAGTTGGCAACACTTAGGTGGAAGGATTAGTCCCACGAGGCTTGCCACACCACTAAAATTTTGGATTGTTAACTCTTGAGGGTATTTGTGGTCTCTTAAGATAACGATGGGGGTATTTTTTATCCCAAAATATAGAAAAGGATATAAGTGATCTATTTCGTATAATGCAGGAGTAATTTTCACCCTATTCCGTTTTCTTTAATTAGGGAAGTAGATTATTCTTATTCTTTAATTTTTGGAAAAAATTAAACCAATTGAACAAATGTGTAATATTATACTAGCGAATAAAATTTCATGTAATAACTCATTTGTAAGAGTATACTTCTTTTGTTCATTTTTATTTCATAATGAGTTTGCATGTCTTTAAAAAAATAATAAATGAAGTGCATATTTTACTATAACTCTAATATTAATGAAAAATAATCTTAAATTATGAGGAGTGATTTAGATAATTAATAATTAATATTAAATGTAAAATATATATTTATTTTTGTATATGCTTAAGTGAACTATTTTTAATATAATGAATAAATAAAAATGAATGAAGAAACATATAACCGTTATAAAATAGTATATTGTGGATGTCCACTACATCAAGAAGTTACTCCTTACTTTCCTCCATTATGAAGATAATCATAACCTCCATAACCTCCATATCCTCCATCTTTATAACCATTATTCTTGTAACCTTTCACTTCCATAACCTCCCCATTGTATTCATGTTAATGTCATGTTTATGACTAACCTTTTGTATGCCTCTATATTACACTATAAATAGAGGCATAAGGTTCATATTGTATACACTTGAAGATTTGGTGAACACTTGAAAGAAAGAAAGTTAGTTTATTGTTCCTCTTGTCTTATATTCTTCTTCTCTTCCTCTTTATATTGTTCTTTTGTTCTTAAGTTTTACAACACGTTATCAGCACGATTGTTCTACTATTGAAGGATTGAAGCAAAGTAAATATAAAGAAGTTTGTTTTGTGGTTATTTTAAAATGGTTAGTAAATTATGTTAATCCTTCGTAACAATATTGAGAAGGAATGTTAAAAGGTTTTAATTCATTTTAACTTGGGACTTTTACATGATTCCAACATGTTGTTCTAATTAATTGATTTGGTTCATTTTTCTTATGTTTTAAGTCAAATTCAGATTATATTTATGGTATTCAATATATTTTTTTTGGTAATGCATTTGGTTTATTAAGACATTGATTGAGGGTAAGACGGTGAATTCAAGTTTCACCGCACCAAATGGATAAGACATCGAGTAAAGTCTCGGTGTACCATGATAATAAGAAGTTGGGTTCAAGTCTCATTGATTTATGACCAAAGGCGTCTTTATATGAGTAAGACATTGGGTTTAAGTCCTAATGCACTATAGTGATGATATGATGATGACTAACATAAAGTTGTATACTTTTGACTGAAAGTCATGAAATTTGCCCAATTGATTTACTCCATTCTCTTATGTGAATGTGGTAGCAGGACATAATGTGTCTGAAAATGACCAGTGGTTAAATGTATGAATATGAGTATGGTAAAATATTGATGGTCATCATTGTGGTAATTAAAAGAAAGAACATTATGGGTTCTTAAGATGGTCCTTCAAATGTGAAGATAATTCTAATCCATCAAAGTGGTATGAAAAGTTATTGGGCCCATTTTTGTTGGTGCAACCCAAATTTGAAAAGTTTTGTAAATCCTCCATCAAAATAAAGGAATACAAAGTGTTAGTACATTTGGTACATTTAACCTCTTAAAGTGATGTTGAGGTGAGTCACATAAATTTGATAATGCCAAAGCATGACAATGAGTTTCTGATAAAAACTTATGGAGCATGTACAAATGGTTATGGTTCATTTCTTGAAGAGAATGTGACTTGTGTTCGTATGGGTAAGAACATGTTCATGTGTGGTTGGATAAATGTCATATCTCACCTCTACGGGAGGTTTGAGATATTGAAAAAAATAATATATTTTGACATAAATGGTCATTTTGATCATATACTTTGAGTACTACACAAATATTGTGGTATGTTTTATCATGAACTATTGGAGGGCAAAAGAAAGAAGTAATTCTTTTCTATAAAGGTTGTGGTCATGACCAAAATAAATATTATTGTGTGGCAACACAAATTTGTCATTGGTTATCAAGAAATAAGTCTTGCATGTAATAAATTTAACCATGACAATAATAATAATTTTCTCCTTGAATGAGATGGTCACCATAAGAATGGTGTTGTGAAATTTGTGATGGTACACAAAATTAATTGAGAGTTCTGAAAGGGCTAATTTGTTACTATCTGGAGGAATGAAATAGTTCATAATATTGGGGTTGTAGTAAGTCTCAAAAGAAACTTTTTAAGTTTCGAAGGAATTGAAATAAAATTTATTATATTGAGACTGTAAATTATTGAAAGATTAAATATCTTTAGATTACTACAATCAAAGCGGGTTATGACTATTTACATAAAAGGTTACCCGTCTTTCTCTTGTTTGTTAAGATATGGACATGATGAAGGAATCACATGCAAAAGTAAACTAGAAGTTTACTAGAATAAATATCAGTTGGCATAACCGGTTGACCATTTTGGTTCAGATGTGATGCAAAAGAAATTGAGAATTCATGTGACTATATGTTTGAAGAAATAAAAGATTCTTCAAGAATTCTCTTGTGTTTCTTGTTCTCATGATAAAATGATAATTGTATCAACTAAGGTGCGGAGGTATCCCTTGAAATTATTTGAAACATATAGAAAGTTGAATATGGGCCTGTTCACCTGCCATGTGGACCGCTTACTATTATGATTTAATAGATGCATCTATGGTATGGCCACATGTGCATTTGTATCAACTTACAAATTGATTTTTGTAAGGTTGTTTGCTCGAATTATTAAATTAAGAGCACATTTCCAAACTATAAAATTATGTTGATAATGTTGGTTGATTTAGCAGAAATTGTTTGCCTCCAATTATAGCTAGACCATTGATTATGAGAACAAATCTCTCGAATAAAATTTGATATGAGATGAGTTTGTTTAACGTGTATGCATCAAGCCAACAAGGTTCTCCCATCACAATTGGTTCAGGGTCAGGAACCAAATAATTTCCATCTAAAAATTTCATGTGTGCACATATGCTTTTATTGCTCCACCACACAAAGATGGATCCCCAAATGAGGTTGGGGGTAAATGTTAGATTCCTAACATTAGGGGAGATATGTTTAGCAGCTGAAAATTATGTGTGGGGTGAATTATCTAGATCTTCGTTAAAAAAAATATGAACTTGAAGTTCACGAGATAATTCATTTGCAAAATGTTGCAAATAATTTGCCAGATGTATTTGCTGACCCAATATTTTAATTAAGCTGCAAATGCTCCAATAAATAGTCCTTAAAGGACAGAGTCTATGGTACGCCAGAAGCGTGATAGACCAATTGATTCCAAATGTAAAACTCCTTGAGGAAGAAGAGGAGCAAATTATCAAAATGGTCATGATAATGAGGTAAGTGCTTTGAAAGAGCACTATGACATAACACTTCATAAAACCTTGGCAAAGGTTGAGGTACCTGA